TTAACCTAACCTATTAGACTTTAGACTTCCTTGATTTCTAGCATAACAGGGTGTTTCAGGCTCACCGTGCACATTTCTTGCCCCAGACCTGATGGGTGCCATTCCTCCAAAAAGCCTTGTTCCTTTTGGTAAGGAATAATGCGTTGAAATTACAATATGAATGCTAAAGATTGCAGCAAGTTTACTATTACTCCTAGGCCTTTTCAAAGGACAAAGCAAGTATATGTTTTTTTTCTTCAATAAATGTATTATTTGGGGGATATAAGAAATACTTTTTTAATAAAAAAATCACCAGTTCATATTATTTCCATTTATCTTTACTATTACCTGGATTCTACTTACTCTGAAAATCATCATTCCTATAATATACAAAAATAGTTTGAAAGTAGTAGTATCTATACTTCTACTAGTAAAATGACTACTGACTGAAGTTTAAGATTTCTTTGTAGGTCTATTTATCCTGAGAACATATTCCACTATGTACAGTGATCACACTATTTTCTAAAGTCATTAATTGTTTATTTGGTGTGGTTATCCCACTAATTTAATATATAGTTAGGACAATTGCTTCAGTTGTTTTCAAAGTTTAGAAATTATATTTTTGTTTTGAATTTAAAATTGTTTTAAATATGTAAAAAGATACACATGATTATAAAGTTAAAACTATGTAGTCAAGGGATATCCAGAGTAATATGCTTCCACGCTTGTCCCTCCAACAGTTTCCTCCCATCCCAAGATACGGGAATACATGAGATCTGTCCGGGGGGTATCCAACCACGTAATGTGAAAAATAGAGACATTTACTAAAGAAGATACAAGATACAAGAAACATAGTACATAGGACCATGACACCTCAGTCCCTTTCAGAGTAGGCATCTTGGGACCTCACACAGTTTTCCTAGTTACCATAAGCTGCCCTGTTGTATTTTCTGGAATCTCATCAACAGTCTGAAATCTCTTTCCTTTCAAAGGTGATTTTAGTTTTGGGAAAAGCCAGAAGTCACAGAGTGCCAAATCTGGGCTGTATGGACGCTGAATCACCTGGGTGGTTTGATGTTTTGCCACGAACTCCTCACAAGACATAATGCATGAGTTGGCACATTATTGTGCTGAAGCTGCCAGTCACCAGGTGCCCATAGCTGAAGCCTTCTGAATCATCCCAATAGTTTCTACAGAGGAAGGTTCAAGCTTAACACAAAATTTGATGCAGATTCATTGTTGCTCTCCTCACTCAGTCATTTTGAATGCCACGACCACATAGTACACATGCTCACTCAAAAGTGTCTACTGCCCCTACTGACTACTACAGTGAAGTTGTCATTGTTCATGCATGAGCATTCCAGTCCACTCTCCTTGGCTGCCAGGTTACATTGATGTCGTGCACAAACAGTTCTTCATGTTAACAGTGGCTGGTCTTTTTCCTGACCGACCTTGTACATTCATAGTTCACCTATGTTATAAAAAAACAGCATACTATACTGTTCTATACCTATTTTTGAGAAAAACATGTATTCTGGAGATCATTCCATGTCATTTCATTTTTTAAAATTTTTTCCACATCATTTTAAAGAGATGGTCCTCATTCTCTTTCAGAGTTTCACAGTGTGTTTCATCGTATGGCTCTGTCCTAGTTTATTCGCCAATCCTCTACTTGTGGTTATTTGGTTTATTTCCAATCTTTTGTTATTACAAATCACACTGCAATGAATAACATTGTGCATAAGCCATTTGTATTTTTGGATTTCTGGGTCAAAGGGTAACCGAATGCCATTTTCTAGGGATTATCCAATTTCTTTCCATAGGTGCTGTGCATCATTTTGCATTCTCACTGGCAATGTGTGTTCCTGCTTTCCATAGCCTGCCAAACCAGTAGGTGGTCCAACTTTTGGGTTTTTGCTAATCTGATTACTTCCCTCCTTTTATCATTCTGCCCGAAGATATACTGGAGGCTTTCATCTGCTTTTGGAAGAACTCTCTTAGTATAAACAATGGGTGATTGTGTTGAGGGTGATAGAAGGAGAGTGGCAGCAGTGTCCCTATCTATTCCACTCACTTAATCATGGAAATGCCAAAGCCCAAAGCATTCAGCATCCTTGTTAAGACCTTGTATTTCCAAAGGCTGGTTCAGGTTTCCAGCCAAGGGGGGAAGGAACATGAGGTATGACCTCACTCCTTTCTAAGGTCCACGGAAAGGACAGGAAGTGAAGTCCACTGGTACCTTACCATTTTCAGGATGCTGAGGAAGCTGGAGGAGGAACATCTCTTCTGTTTGCTCTCTTCAGAATAACCCCAATGTCAAACACATGTCCTTGTGTATGGCTAGAGGTTTCCAGATGGTGGAATGTCCACTTTTTAACTGTGGTGCACGACTGCCCACATCCAAGATCCTTTCTTTTGCTGCTTTGTAAAACTGAATGTCATGGTTGGAATTTTTTTTCTTTAGCTTCTTCCATTTCCTTGTATCCTCATGGGTGATTCTGCCCTCCAGGGAATATTTTGGCAGTATCCTAAAAACAAATCTGGTTGTCACAACTTGGAGAGGGTTACTGCTGGCATCCAGTGAATAAGAGGCGAGAGGTGTTGTTAAATATCCTACCACACACAGGACAGCCCCACCCCTCTTCCCACAGCAAAGAATTATCTGGTTCAAAATGTCCATAATGCCAAGGCTAAGGAGACTCTACTGTATTCTTTCTTTATGCTGCACATATTCGCAGACGTGCTCAAAATGACTGCAGTCAGTGGCAGAGGAAGGGCAGGATCACAGACAGTCCCTCTCCCTGCTCCTCTGAAAGTCACCAGCAATTCAGAAATCTCTTTAGTCAAAGAGACTCTAAGGAGTTATATATTTATCTGGAAGATTAAAGAACAAATGCCATTTTAACCTTCTGAAAACTGATTATCATTAGGTATAATGCAACCTTTTAACTGTAAGTATAAAGGAAAGTGATGATTATTTAAAATAAATGGAACCCAAAGTCCCATGAATAATCAAAAACTTGGTTAATAGAGTATGACCAGAGAATAATACACTTGGCTTCTGTGGAGAAATTAGAGTACATGCTGTGAATTGGTATTAAGGAAATTACATGAAAAGTTAGTCTTAAGGTGATTTTGAAGAAACGGCCTCAGGTGCACAATATATCACATTCAGCTTTTATCTCTCCTTGTGTTTTCATGACTTCTTTCACCTTGGATAACCCAGGAGCTCAGGCCTTGGAATGTCTTGGAATGGCAAAGTATCTCACTCTCCACATTTATTTTCATCTAGAGCAGATGTAAATTTTATTGCCAGGAGTTTGTTATCTCTTTCGAAGGAATTATTTTTGAACTTCAGTTTGCCTTACTTATGTTGTGGTCATGTGCTGTGCTTAAAATTTACGAGCATAATTCACTTTATCTAAAATGTACCCCTGAAGAATTATGCCTAAATTGAATGTTTGGCAATAAAATCAAGTTTCTATTTTTTTAAAGATTTTATTTATTTGTTCATTCGTTTATTTATTTATTTTTACACAGACGGGAAGGGAGAGAGAGAGAGGGAGAGAAACATCAATGTGTAGTTGCCTCTCACACGCCCCCTACTGGGGACCTGGCCAGAAACCTGGATTGGGAATCAACCAAGTGACCCTTTGGTTCCCAGGCCAGCACTCAATCCAGAGCCACACCAGCCAGGGCCAGATTTTTAAATCACAGGGAAATTTGCCATTCAAAGGGATTCTGAGGCTAAAACTTCTGCAGAGAAAAGCATCTTTTTTTTTTTTTTTTGCAAACCGAGTAATTAGTTTGCTCTTTTAAGTGCAATTTTTAATGTAGCCCAAGTCTGGTCCAGTATTATGCATGATACTAATTCAAAATATATCATGAATTGGAAAAAATTTTGAAAGTTGAAAGTTTTGCAAGCTATTTTTAAGTGTGTAAAACTATATATAGCAAGGGTTTTAACACTTGTTTGGAGTGATAAGAAAAAATGCTAGAAGTACTTGAAAAAAGAATAGGTAGCATTATGTAAATGATAACCACATTCACAGCAACAAGGAAAAAAATGGCTAGCAACTTGTTATTTTGAGAAACTGTAATCCTGTATGTAGAGCAAGGATTCAGAAACCAAATTGCTTGGGCTCACATCCCTGCCTAGTGTGGCATTAGGCAATTTTATGACTTGCCTGTGCCTCAGCCCCCTCATGAGAAACATGGAGAAAACTACTATTATCTATGTAATGGGGTTGTTTTGAGGATTAAGTGAACACAATCTATAATAAAGTATTAGGGTCAGAGGTACAGTTTTAAATACTGGATGGTGAGCATCATTCTAAAGAGGTGCCTCTCCTCACCCTTGTGGGAGGTATGGCTGCTTCAGCCTGAGTTACACACAGGGGTCGAACGGGCCTCAGTGAGGCCAGTGACTCCGGCAAGGACAGAGCACATTCCTTGGGAAAAAGAACCCTGTCGGCTGCGCCACGCCACCCAGGTTGGGAGCTGAGGGCACGAGAGCTGAGACCCCCGAATGAACTCTGTATTCCCACCTCCACCAAGCCACAGTTCCTGAAGCCCCGCAGCTGCACCGGCCGCGATCACGTCGGTCCAAGACCACTGCCTGGGGCCGGCGACGGATAGCTACGAGAGGCTTTCCAGAGAAGGTGACTGACACTCTTTCTTCTGGGCGGACCGGGGATAGCAAAAAAAGGCCCTTGTTCATGACACAAATATTTATATGTGCCCACTCCTTGCTGGGCGCTAGGAATGCACCAATGAATCGCACGCGGCTTAGACCCCAGGCGTTGGGGCAGCACCCAGTGCCCACGCAGAGACAGCTACCATTCTGGATGTTTGCTGTGCAGGACCAGGAGAAGTGGGAGGAGCTGAGGTTTTTACCCAACCTCGTCTTCCGGGATTCTCCTCCAGAGCCCCCGCCCACTCGAGGCTTTCACGGCTGTGCCGTAAAGTAGAGAGCAGTCCTGGCTCCAGAACAGCCCGCCTTAGTCTTTACGGCAGGCCGCATTCCCAGCCTCTAAGTATGGCGTTCCCCATTTAGGTGTTGGTCGTGGTTTCTAGCCCGCTGGCCCGTAGCAATGCTGAGCTAGGGCAGTAATCTGTTCAGACAGGGCTGCAGAAGGCTGCAGTTAAAGTTCGTGTCTGGTCACAGCTCCAGTAACCCACGAGCTTCTGAGGGTCAGGAGCTGCCACTTTAGTCCCTGCAAGTTCCTCCTCTGCCCCTAGTTTGTTTCCCCGTGCTACGTCCGGACACTGAAGTCCCTGACACTCCCAGACTCAAACTATGAGCCTTCCTCAACTACTGTTGCGCTCGCCCCGTTATCTCCGGGCCTCAGGTACCCCGTGTCACTTGTGGTCCCAGTTCCTCGGCACTTTCTCCTCGGTGGGCTCCTGGCGTGGTCAGTCCTCCAAGTCCCCGGCCTACTGGAACCAAGTGGTGTCAGAAGCGGAGAAAATCGTGGGCTATCCTACGTCCTTCATGAGCCTCCGCTGCCTGCTGAGCGACGAGCTCAGCAACATCGCTCTGCAGGTGCGGAAGCTGGTGGGAACTCAGCATCCTCTGCTTACCACAGTCAGGTGAGCTACTCCCTACCCGCCCGGCACAATCGCACCCATTCGAGACCTTTTTTCTGACGGACACCATTCCTGCCTCACTCAGATTCGCTTCTTGCTTACCTCTTCCTTTCCTCGGCCCTCTTAGACATTGGATATTGTCTTTTCTCTAGTCCAGTCACCTTAACATTCTTCTTCTCTTTGCTCAGTTGAGCGGATGAGTGGTTGTCTTTTGAGAAAACACGTGGACGCTTTTTGCGCTTTTGCTTAATGGAGGTGAAGATGCCTCAGTGATTTGTAGAGTAATTGAGTATGGATGTGGATTTGAGTCACTTGCTAGAAATGATCTTTCAAAGTGGGATGGATTCATTTTCAACTCCGCACTATTCAAAGCGTCACCTCCAGAAAGAATGGGGAGGGGGGAGGGAGAGGGTAGGATGAAGGTAGACAGTTCTTCTCAACGAAGGTCCCAGGTTCGAAGTAGGAATTTATCCAGTCAGTAGTCATTATCCTCTTGGGATTTTTATCGTTTTTGCTGGACTACTGTAAAACCTGTCACTAGGATTTTAAGGACCACAATTTTTGCTTCCACTGGAAAAAAAAACCACACAAAAAACCCTTGCTGTTTTATTTGTAAATACTTTCAAACATGCTGAAAAGTTGCAAGAATAAAAATAGTACAATGAACACTTTAATCAGATTCACCTATGATATGTATATTATATACACACAAATATTTATATGTATATGCAAAACATATATGCACACACATTTTTTCCCTGAAACGTTTGAGAGTATATTGCATACCTCATGGTGATTTGCCCCTAAATCGAGTGTCATTGAGTGTTTTTTTTAGCATTAGCATAGAAATATTACTGACATAATTACATTAATCAATGTAGGCACATTTAATGTTGATACCGTACTTTATTTAATCTACCACTGATATTCCAATTGTGTTAATTGACCTAATAATGCCCTTTATAAAAGCATTCTTTCCTTTTCTAGTACAGGATCCAGCCTAAGGTCAGATGTTGCATATAGTTGTCATGTCTCTTTAGTCTCCTTCAATCTTGAGGGACATTTCCACAGGTCTTCTTTGCTTTTATGACTAGAACAGTGGTTCTCTAATGGGGCAGTTTTGCCTGCTGGGGAACATTTGGCAGTGTGTGGAGATGTTGTCACATCTCGGGTATGCTACTGACATTGAGTGGATAGAGGCTGGGGTGCTGTTAAACACCCTATAATGCCCGGGACAGCCCCTAACAATGAAGAATTATGTGCCCCACAATGTCAATAGTACCAAGATGGAGAAACCCTGCACAAAATTATCTTTTTTTAATTTTTTTAATTAAACTTTTACTTTGAGGTAACTGTAGATTCACTTGCAGATGGAAATAATACTGAGATATCCAGTGTATCTTTTAACCAGTTTTTTCCCAGTGGTAACATCTTTATAACTATAGTACAATGTCACAAACAGAATATTGACATTGATACAGTTAAGATGCAGAGCATTTCATCACTATAAGGATCCCTCATATTACTCTTTCATGGTCACCTCCACTTCCCTTGCCCATCCCCTTGCTTTAATTTTTGAGACACCTGCAATTTGTTTCTTGCTGCAGAAGCAATAGGGGAGTGCTTTTATTTCTTGGCATCATTCCTGGTTAACAAGAATGTGTTCTTATGAGTGAGCTTCACTTGTACAATGTCAGGAATGTTAGTTCTCCAGAGATTATAGATGATAGACGCTCCACATACAGACACACTTACTTTAAAGCTCAATAATGGAATTAATGAGTTTATCACTCAGTTTGAGACCAATAACTTTACCAATCCTTTTGAAGCCGAATGCTCCCCAGTCCATCTCTCTGACCCCAAGTATACTAGATTTTGTGTTTATTTTCATTTTTAAAAAGGCATGAGTGTTTCCCTAAGTAATAACATGTTTATTTTCCCCCTTTTTGAAATTTATTTATATGGTAGTTTATTGCATATAGTCTGTTACAACTTGCTCTTTTAAATCATCATTGCTTCTGAGACTCATCCATATTGAGTTTAACTGTACTTCATTAGTTTTTCACTGGTGTATAAAATCCTATTTTGTGAATATGCCAGTCTACTTTCAGTCAGCTTTTGGTTGTTTGCATTTTTTTTGTATTGTGTGAATACAGAAATACTACAGTGAATATTCTTGCACCTGTCACCTGATGTACTAGCCCTGAGAGAATAGATACAGGAGTATATAGCTCTAGTGGGTGATAATAAATTGTGTTCTAGAGTGGTTGTACTGGTTTCACTCTCATGAGCAGTGTCTGAACTCAGGTTACTCCATGTTCTTCCAACACAAGAACCATGAGGTTTCTTAATTTTTGCTAATTAATAAATAGTGTGTGTGTGTGAGAGGGATGGGAATGGTGGTATTAGCAGGAGTTGTAATACTGTTGTACATTGCATTGCACTTATTGTAGTCTCTATAATAATAAGGCACTGAACTAAAAGGGGCACTAAAAGGAGCCTTTTTTTGTGTATATTCTGAGAGTTACAATTCATCTAATTAGTTGCCAGACTATCAGATAGGATCTTGGAGAAGATCCCTTCTGATACACAGAAACAGAAGCTACCAGAAACACACTAAATAAAAGCCTGTAAGACTAATGGCTTTGAAACTTTCCTGATTTTACCCTGTTCTGCATAACTACTTCTGTACTACAGTGAAAGAATGGAGAGGAACAAAATAAATGAGTTTCAGCAGAGCTGTAGTAACACCTATGATTTGCTTTATTATATAAGAAAAGAAAGCCAATCTGCATGTAGTTTTATTATTTATTTTGACAATATTCTGTGAATTATTTAAAGTCTACACCCACAAGTAGCTGATGAGCAAAAATCTTTTGGCAAGGTGTATACACACACACACACACACACACACACACACACAGGATGGGGCAAAATAGGTTTATACTTGTTCATATAAACCTATATGAACATATATGAAAATAACACAATAATTATAAATAATAATACAAAAATAAACTCTCCTGTACTCACAGCTGTAAACCTACTTTTGCCCCACTCTGTATCTGTATACACTATATACTGTGTGTGCATCTCTGTTTTAGTGAAGAAGCAGGCATTCGATCCATAGAGTAAGCAGATTGTAGCTATTGTAAATTATAGCTAGAAACATAGATTCGGCAGCTATATTACTTCACATTACTTCACTTTCCTTTTTGACATTTTGTCAGCAAAACATTGATAATTAGGGCGGAAGATGCTCTCAGCCTGTTAGCAAATGGGCACAAAGACCAAGACCCCTTATAGTCATTATCCTCTTGGGATTTTAGGTAGGGTGAAAAACCAGGTTTGGTAATTCTTTCACAATCCTGTTTCACATTTTGAGTTTCTACTATCCACACAGACATGTTAGGGATCTACATAGTATGGGTAGATCTACATAGTGTGTTAGGGATGAATCATATCCACTAGCCCTAAAATTTAGATGAATAATGACATTTTTGGCAAACATCAGGGAAAAATAATTAAATCACCACAATGCATTATCTACTACCTTCTTTTCTTTTATCTAAGCTATCTCATCAAAGAAAAGGGAAACGTGCCTGGAAGTGTACTCTGTAATAGTTTAGTACAGAAGTGAGATTAAATTTCAAATCACAATTTAGTAAGATCATGTGTTTATTACTGGAAACAATGTAGCATTTTTTACCCTTATTCTTACAGATTTTTTGGATCTTGCAGGCCTCAATTAGAAAAATAATCCTCAATAAGTTAATTCAATGTTTATTGAAGTTTACGGAGGAATATAAAGGAATATAAAACATGGTGTCTGTTAATGAGTAGACATTTTGTCGGATACCAATATACAGGGTGGGGCAAAAGTAGGTTTACAGTTGTGACTATGTGAGTTTATTCCTGTATTTTTATTTATTAATTATTATATTGTTTTCCATATGAACAACTGTAAACCTACTTTTGCCCCACTCTGTATTTACAAATACCTGACAGAAGTAAATGACTTATGGCTAATGAATAGTAGAGCTATATTAGCTATTACATTTGAAACGTTAAAGTGGCCTAGAGTAGTATAGAACCTTTCATGAAAAAATTGGGACATCATTGTGATGGAGAGGCAGAAATTACATGGCTGAAATTTTAGGGTGGTGGTGGCAGCATACTATATATTTTTCCTTCATGATTCTTTTTCTCCTTTTTTCCTCAGGCTGTCATCCCTCTATGAGGGATAGGGAGGACCTTAAAAGCAAGGATACTCAGTGAATAAAGCAAAATGAGCAGACTGAATAGAGCTAGAATAGCTAAAACAATGTTAAAGAAGAAGATGAGAGGAATCAATCTATCTAATATTAAGTTTTATATATAACATTATTGATCAAGACAGACCTGTCATACTCACAGAGGAATAGAAAAGACAGATCGATGAAACAGAATAGAAAACCCAGAACTTGGTCAATACAAATATACCCAAGGTTTTTGACAAAGGTGCGGAGGCAATTCAATGAAAGAGGAATAGTCTTTTCAACAAATTCATACAAAGAAATGTTACTTAACAATGAAAAGAAACGAACTGTTCACACAACAATTTAGGTGTATCTTAAAAAAAAATATGCTGATTGAAAAAACTCAGTCTCATTTCTCAAAAAATTAAAAATAGAATTGCCATATGATCCAACAGTTCTACTTTAGGGTATACATCCAAAAGAATTGAAAGTAGGCTCTTGTAGAGAGATTTGATCACCCATATTGGTAGCAGCATTATTCACAACAGCCAGGAGGTGGAAGCCACCCAGATGTCCATCAGTGCATCAATGGATGAACAAAATGTGCTATATACATATAATGGAAGATTAGCCAGGCTCAAAAAAGAAGGAAATTCCAGCATATGTTACAACATGAATGAATCTTGAAGATATTATGCTACATGAAATAAACCAGTCACAAAAAGACAAACACTGTATAATTCCATTTATAGAGGGTATTTAGGG